TTTCAGATATTAACCAAAATTTTAAAACAAGTTTAGCACCTCACCCTTCACCAATAAACCTCTTCTTATTTCTTCTCTCTCGGGCATTTCACTGCCCTGGCATCAGCAGTCAGACAGCAGAGATGCTCAGGTGAACTCCAAATCCTACTCTAGCCTCTATCCTGATTCCCTTTGTTTCTAACAACAGCTAATTGCCTGTACCTCAATAACAGCAAGCACCATATTACAAGCTTCTTTTGATATTAAACATTGAAAAGACTCAGAATTATTTCACCTGTCTCCCTCTACATACATCTGCCAGCCATCTTTGTGAAAGACAACTACAGGCAATGCAAACATGTCCCGGGAAACACACGCCAGCATACGTGGCTTAGGAACCAATGCTCAAGCAGCTCCCTTGACGGAAAACCTGCTGCAAATAAGACACTCACTCACTTCTGAGGGAGCACGTTTCTCTCAATGAGAAGTGGTGACATGAAGTTGAACCCTCTCCCAGTATTCCCCCACGCTATTCCTGCTTGAGACCGCCTCCGATGCAAACAAGTCGCATAACCAGGAGGCAGGGAGCTTGCTGAAAGACCGTAGCAGTCACACCTATTCATGAATTTGCCACACGGCTGCATTTCTGCACGTGAGCGATTTATAGCTCGCAATCCACAGAGCTATGATAACTTTTTAATAGGAAAAACAGGCCCCGGGGCTGTACCTAGCAGCTTTGTTATGCTCCAGGGAAGCTATGTGTAGGGGGAAACAAAAGAGAAAACTGACCACCGAGTACGAAAAAAGCAGGGAAGAGGCAGGCAAACTCCAAACTACTGCACACAGCAACAGTGTCCCTGAAATTTCTGCTTACTTCTTGATAAGCAAGGCCCTTATGAGCTTGGGGAGCTTCAAACAGTAAAGTTTAAAGCTTAATTACAAATGAACAAATAAAGGGGCATCTTCCTCTTGAGTTGGAGGTTTCTGTCGCACCAGCTGTGGAGGGGGTGTATCCATGCCACCCTAAAACTCCCTTACCACAAGCAGCAGCCCTAGACCCAGCAAGACGCCGAGAGTTTACCCACTGGCCTCACGCTCTGCCATTGACACACAGTCTGCCCGACAGAAGTACAGCAAAGCTATACTGACCACTGAGTCTTTCTCCCCTCTCCTTTCCCTTCCTCCATACATTAACCACGGCCACATTGCTGGCCTGGGGCAGATTTGTGCTGGGCTGTCTCCAGTGAGTGGCTGACAAACCATCTTACTGGTGCACTGGAGACTTAACAGCCTCCTGCAAACCCGACCCAACCATTTTGCAGCTACACACTAAGGGATTTTGTTGCAAAGATCAAGTAGTGTCAAGTGCAAAAGTATGAAAGTAACTGTTATTTATTTTTAGGATTTGTAAATCTAGATACTCGGAAATTTTAATATTTATCAGCCCATTTACAGGACAAGTACAAAGACCAACACCCTTAGCAACAGATGCTGATTTGTGTTCTTTGTCTTGCTGAATAAATTTGATGCCTATTTTTCCAGGCAGAAGACCCTCAACAAAATCGCTTTATCACTATGGATTCTGAACTGCTGTCCAGTGATCGGTTAGTTTGCAAAACCCTCTTTTAAGTGCTTCACAGCTGCTCCACTGACTCCATGGGGTTCTGCACATAAACAGCACCTCAGAAAGGCCCCATAAAGCCACGGTGCTTCCATCTTGCATCCAAAGCTCAGCACTGCTCTTTTCCCCAAAGCACAACCTGAAGTGAGGCGTATTTTCAGATCTATCAAATAGGTTCATTATGGGCTTGGTGCCAAGCCTATTGCAAATACCCGAAAAAGACCTCAGCTGATTTTGGAGTTCTTTGGATCAGTTGTTCTAGGAAACAGATTTGCACAAAGGTAGGAGGAAGAAGAAAAAGTACTTAAAAGAATTGTGGGATCAACAACAACAGAAATGCTCCAACTGAAGCTGCAAGGCTGATCGCCAGTTTGCATGGCTGGGCTAAGCTTAGCAAAGGTAGGACTAGTCCCTGCAACCTGAAGACATTAACTCCAGAGGTGCAGCAGGCTGATCAGCAAAGGTGGCTGTTTATATTGGGGTGACTTCCTATGGCTGTCTAAAAGCTGGGTTCTCATCTGAACTGGCCGACCCTATTCCCTCCCTCGCATGTGGAGACAGCTACGTGTCACTGAGGAGCAATTCATTCCCATCATTTTGGACCTCTGTTTGAAGGTGGGAAGAACTGGAGATACCTATCAGCCTCCACTGGTGACAGACAGAGCTTGGATAATGACCAGAGACTAGACGCACAGCTTGCAGAGGGCTAATATGAAGCTCCCTCAGGGTTTATAGGCAAGTCAGCAGCCAGATTCAAAGGGAGAGTCTTTGATGGGTAAAGGTAAAGCTGCTGGCGATCCTCTTGTCACCTCACCGTCTTGCTGGTTGTTTTTGTACTTACAAAATCATTGCTACATAGTGACCTGGCAAACAAAGTCAGCAGTCCATGGCAATCTTGTTCAAAAAGTACATATATTTAATAATGATAACAAATACAATTTTTTCCCCTGGAATTTCTACTACGGTATTTCAGTAAGTCCCTTCTACGGTCACTGCAGTTTGACTGTACATAGCTACTGTCTAAGCTCGATACACGGTTATGTTTTAGCAGTGTCGTACTCATATAGTCTCTATAAATATAATAAAAGATTTAACATTTCTGTTTTCATTCTGATTCTTACACATATTTACTGGGTTTTCACAAAAAATACATGTCTCTTTCCTGCCTCCCCCAACCTTTTATTGGGTTCCAAATAAACCTGAGTTTGTAATTCAAGTCAGTATCTGTCATCTGTTCAGGTACGCAAGTCCAACGCACACAAAAGACGGGATTTCAGTGGTCCCTGCTCACTAGCTTTGCAGCACAAACATGTTCTTAGCATGAAGAAAAAGAAAATGCTTCAATGTTTTTAAGCAAAACAAAGAGCTAAAATGGACCCCCGGGATGCACAGGTGCTCTGTACAAAGAGAAGATGACATTTTTCAATCTGAAAATGAGTAAAATTATTTCAGGGCTGTCTTTCTTATCATATTGGGATTTTTATGTATATTATTTCACAAGTAGTTTAACTACCCCAGAGGTGGGTGTCCGCACCACACTGAAGAGTACAAGACGCATATGGACTTCCCCATTCCGAACTGATGGGTGGCTTCAGCGCCGAGGTGAAGGTCCCATCTGCAGGGATGAGAAGGGTGCTCTGGGCATTCATGCTCTGCTGGTTTTCCCAGCAAGCATTCAAAATACTGAACAGTCCAGTTATCTGTTCTGTCAGTATTTGGATTAACGACCAATATTTTTCTTGCAGATTTTGGTGCAAGGCCTGTGCTATGCCAAGAATCTGGAAAAGGCGCTCAGCTATGTGCTCTGCTGGGGACCTTCTCCCCTGCATCTGCTGGCCCTCCTCCCCGAGTCCCTGTGTATCTCTCTCATGAAACTGGAAGGAAAGCTTCTCAAACAGGGGTAACTCTCAGCATTTGCACAAACACCAAACAACGGGGTCACAAAATGTTGTTTGCAAAAATATTGATGAAAATAGGGCTTGGATTCCTACTGATGGTCTCAAGGGAAAATCCTCATCTTCCCACAACAATCCCAAGAAGAAAACGCCTCTGCTGCCTGGGTTTTGAAATGACATTAATTGGGTGGGCGGCAGTGGGGCACACGTGGGCCAGGGCTGCCCGCTTGGGAACCAGACTGGAACAAGCTTTGTTGAGACGTCCCATACACAGAAACACATACGCAAGCGCGGTACAGACAAAAGAAAAAGAGTAGTCTTTGGCTAAACCTTCTAATTTATAGGAAATGGTTTGAAGACAAAACAGAACCAAAAAAATGTTGCCAACCTCTCAGATGTATCATTTACTTAGAAAAACAAGACCGGTATGCAGAACATGGTGCCTTTTAAGAAAGTTAATTTTCACTGCTCATAACAATACTGAATTTTTGGTAACCACTGCATTACCAATCTTGCAGTATAAAACGGCATTGGTACAGGTTCACGTGTCCTTTATTAGTCTCTTTAATTCACTGCAGTCTCTCAGAAAAGCCTTCAGGTGTGGCCAATGCTGCCTTGCTGTAACGTGCAGTCCTGCACGTAGGTGCGCCATGGAACTAGTACAGCTGCAAAAATCGGAGGTGACTGGATTGTTTAAACACAGCGTGTTGCAATCTGGATTACTGTCTGAAGCATCCACTTGCAGACCCATCATATGAAAGGAACAGGCCTCTAGTGCGGTGAATTTCCACATGATGAAACTTGTTTTTAAATAATCATGTTTCTTTCGAGTGACATCATTAAATCATCATTTTCTTTGGGAAAAAAATGATTCCATTATCAGCTACTTTATGTAATTAACCATAAAATCTGCTTTGACTTCCAATACTCCCACTTTTTCTGAATGTTTAGATCACTCATGTCTTTATTCAAGCTTCTACCAACTTCATCTTCTTGGCAGTGCTTGTTAGCAAGTTGACTTTGGACACAGTATCTTGAGTTTTTCCACTTGTCTAGCCATGTGAACAACGCCAGTAGTGGTACCATGCACTGTGTGGCACAGGCAGATGGAGCACGGGCAGCCTTACCACAGATCCTGGATGGGACTGGCATTCATGGCACCATGCAATTACCTTGATGAATCAAACTGTTAATGCTCACTGCTCTTCCAATCAACCTTACTGCAATACTAGATAAGAGCAGTGAAAATACATATTCACGTGGCTCTTTCAAGACATGTTTTAGTGTACAGTCAGATGTCAAATGCTGATATTTCTTAACAGCACAAGCAGAGCCCTTTTCTTTCAACTTTAATATATAGGACAACGCTTTCCTTACAAACAGACCTCTGATTTTCTACGTTGGACCACGGTAGTGTAAGTAACATGCCTGTGGCTTTCCCTTCATGTTAAAAGTTAAAAAGGTTAGGTCCCAGAGAACAGCAGTGCAAATCCCGGGATATCAGACTAACACTGACCGCTGACAGCATCTGCTGCATTGAAGGAAATCTGCGTGGGGCTCATCTGCTGCAGCTGAGGCATCCTCGCTTCCAGCGGCTTGTCGCTCGCCGACTGCATCGTCTGGTTCCTCTTCCGCAGCATCTGTCCGATCCCCATCATGGGGAATCTGCCTCTGCTTTTAACACAGTTAGGGCTGCCCAAGGGGTTGTTGGAAACCAGCTGAGTAGGGGACACTGCTTCTTCCTTTGCCGGATACGTTTTTTCTTCATACGTGAAAGATACTTGGGTGGGGTGGACAGGGGACGTACTCCCTGGCTGAAAAAGCGGGGACAGTGTCCTTTCACTTGAGCTTTTGTAAGGGAAATTCATTGGCGAGCCTAAAATCCTGTACTGATGAGAGGGGGAAACCTGGTCTATTTGGTCCTCTCTGTCAACCGACTCGAAGGAGTGCACAATATTCAGGATGAGAGGAGAGTCCTTTGCCCGGCCCCCGATCCGGGCCGGCTCCTGCTTCGGAGATTCCTCCCTCTTGAGGAGCCGAGGGGTTCTGGGGGGTGGCTGCTGGACTTCGAGGTACTCCAAGGAGCTGGAAGTGACGCAGCCCGTCTTGGTTGCCAGGGGTTCGTGGAAAGGGCTCACCCCACCGCTGGAGTCTGCAAAGCAATCAGAAAAGGAACCAGAAGAGCGGATTGCATTTAATAGCACTGCCTTCTCTGCCTTATGGCAGACAGTGTCCGACGTCACCTTTAACAAATTTTAGAAGAGCATGACAAATGCGCTAGCTAAAACAAATGGTCTTAGGGATATACTCAGAACCTAATTCCCTGACTCTCATTTGATACTTACATTGTTGTTTCATGGGTAATTTATCTGCCCCTTTCCTCAAAGGCGGGAAGAGCGCTTAAACTGAGTAAGACAAGGACATGAAATGGAAAACCACAGCTGTCTTCAGCTGTTTGTATTAATTATATCCTCTAAGGCCATGCCTGAGAAATCTCACATTTCTCCATTCTTAGCACAACTTTACATGATTTTAACTGGGTCTGTGTACTGTATTCACTGACATACCTAGAGACACAGGGGACAACAGTGAGTTAATCCCTAATGTCTTTCCTTGCATTTTGGAACAAAATCTGTTCTTGGTTTCACACATGTAAATACAGAGTAGTTGCACTGGCCAGATTCAGGCTGTTACAGTTGGAACAGATTTGCTGCATTGACTTCAGTGAGAAGCTTCCCCCAGCAAGGACCGAATATAAATGGAACAATCGTTGCAGGATTTGGCCCAGTAAAACAAAACAGCTCCTGGAGAAGATCTGCTTGGTTTCTACAGGATGCTGGCACTCGCTTATACCAAGCCAGTCGCAAGGAAACACGTTTTGCTGCCTTTATGGAAAGCTGTCCAAGGAGCCTGCTTTGCTAGGTTCCCCCAAACTGAAAGAATAGTGGACCGGCAGTTAATCACTGCCCACGAGTCCCCTCGGTCTCAAACCATCTAAAAGGGATATCAAATAATTTAGGTCTGCCAGCCCTCAGGTCACAGCCACAAATCTCACAAATCTCCCTTTTCAAAGGGATGGTCTTGGCAGGGGTTGAGACCTGAATGGATGTACAGGATGAAATCACTCACATTGAGAGTTGTCTGGGAAAAGCAGACCAGGTTTAATCTGACTAGTTTCTTTCTAAAACTGGTCAAAATTATTTGACCACTTCATTTAAGAAGTGTCAAAACACCGTTTCCATAAGTGGAGAAATGCTTTAGCTGCGATCTGAATGATTTTCAGGTTTCTGTTCAAAAAAGCAGGGAGAAACCTAAAGAGGAAAAATAAATGAACTAGGTTTACTTCCCCCAGTGCCTCCCTCCCAAAAGGAACAACAAACCTGAACAAAATGAGCATTTTTTTAATGGTTTTTACATTTTTCTCAAAAAGTATGTCCCATTTCTGATCAGCTCTCTAGACGACTGCTACGTTGCAGCAGAGGAGCCTGTGCTGCCAGATGAACACCATTTTGACATTTTTTTCAGGTTCAAAGCATCAAACGATAAATTGTCAATTCACGAGAGAAAGCACGAAACCACCATAAGCCACCACCCCAGATAACCCCCTGACACCACAGTAAACATTTTACATCGCGGTATTTCCCCCCGCTGCTCTGCAGTGACCTCCCCTCGTTTAGTTCCCTCATTTAAGAGCTGGCGACATCACCTTCCTGCTCCTCAACGTCTCCCGTCCACGTGTGCACTAGTGACACCCCATTTTCCCCGCTGTCTCCCCTTTTCCTCCACTCCTTTCTCCAGCCTCCTTTTGCGAGCAGCTCTCACCCGTCCCTCCCCGGCTGCCTCCTACCCTGCGTGATTAATGCTCTGCTCTCTGCTGGCTGTCCCGTCTTTTTCTTTCCCCATTAATGCTTTTCCCCCTCCTTTTGCTGCCTGAAATCTGCTGTGGTTGGCGGTCCCACCCGCATTTCTGCTGCTGCACACTGCTTCTCCCAGGGATGCCACCGGTACTGGCACTCTCCTCAGGGTCAGGGATTTCTTCCCATGCTGCCCCTTAGCACCCTCTTAGCAAAACGCATTCACCAGCAGGAAGAAACGCCTCTACCGGCTTTGGTTTGTCAGCGATCTGGGGTGGGTGTTGATGCTTTCCAAGCGCCAGCGTGAAGCGCAGATGATTTTGTGTAAGTACGTATAAATAGGGAA